GACTCCGGCTTAGGTTGGATTGACTTGGATGCATCTAAAGGAAAAAAGGCAATGTTATTGTTACTTGAACAAGTTCATGCTGGCGATGTGAAAATATGTTAGTTGCTTCTATTGAGTAGTTATGTCGTTATCAATCTAACATGAGTTCAAAAACCAAAATCACCCTCATCTTACGAACAAATGCACTAAAGTATGGGTGCTTGAAAATCAAGCTCAGCTCTGAAACATGGAATGCTGTTTGTTCCAGGGATCGTCATGAGTTTCTCGATCTAATGCGTACAAGAAGGATTATGTCCTGATCAATTCTTAAAATTTTCTCAGTCACCAGATATTTTTCTACTATAAAGAGTGTTTTTCCTACCCCACCTCGTGCTATCTTTTATTGGCGTCGCAACAGCTAGAATCATGTCACCAGTTATTCTGAGTGAGAAAGGATAGTCATTCAGTAAGCACAAACTTCAAAACATCACATATACTTAGAGAATTCTAGGCATGTTATGGATTAAGTTCGCCGATGTCCCTGTCGTGTTGGTATCAAAACGTATATCTACGGGCCAAATTCCCTTATTATATAATTGTCTTTATTAGGACTCCAAATATCATCTGTGAAAAAACGCAGTATCGATATATTGATGTTTAATCTCATTCGAAGCTGACTTCAGCTGCTGGTATTTTTCTCTTCTGCTGACTTAGACAAAGGAAGCGAATGGTATATCTCTGATTTTGCAAGAGAGAAGCAACAAATCTTCCTAAATGACATGCATAATCATCGTGGGTGTGACGTCTGCGAATGTTGGTGAAAAAAAAACAAGCTTCACACTCACACCTACACCAACCAGGCCATACGATTAGGTGGGGGATGCTGGGGTATTTCCCCCGGCTAATTTTTTTCTTATGTATTGGTTTTCTCCCTAAGAATTTTAGGAACATAACTCTTTTTATCTTTTAGTAAGTACGACGAGCTGTGCACAAACAAACTTGTTGTACTTTCTGATACAAGATAGTTTTCTCTGCATAACTGCAGGGAGAACTGCTTGCTGTATCACATACGAACTATTTTCTAGCGATGTATGCTGTTTCCTCTTTCAATGTGTCCTATTTTCTCTTTACATTTGGACTATTTTCTCTTTCAATTTAAACCGATGTCTGTTTGAATTTTCAAATAGAAAATGAATCATTTGTAAAGGCAATAAAAACAGGTAAATATTATCAATGATATTTCTTGTTCAAAAATCTCTATTTCAGTTTACAATATTTTATATCAAGATTGAAAATATGTCCAGTTCTGAAAACGACTTTGTCCTATTTGTTGGGTAAGCGTTCAAGTGAAAAATTTCAAGCGTCACTGGTGTACTCATCATGAACGAAATGAAAAAAAAGAACATATGATGAAGTTTTCAACACCTTAAAGACGAATATTTCAAATCAACACAAAATTACCACAACACCATCAATTGACAGGGCATACGATTAGGGGGGAGGGGGAAGCTGGGGAATTTTCCCGGGCTAAATTTTTTCTCGCATTCCAGCTTTCTCCCTAAAAATTTTCTTGACAAGTAGTTTGAAATTTCTCCTCATTAGTTTGGATAAAAAGTTCAGATTCAAAGCGAAAGTCATTCAAACTCTGAGAAATATAAGCTAGTTTCAAGGAGAAAATAGCACAAGTCTGAAGAGAAAATGAATTCATTTCTAGAGAAAATAGTTCAAATTCAAAGAGAAGATAGTTCAAACTCAGAGAAAAACAGGTCAATTTCAAGGAGAAAACGATCCAGCTCCAAAGAGAATAGCCCAGTCTCAAAGAGAAAATGAACGAATTTCAAAATAAAATAGTTCAAATTCGAAGAAAATGTCGTTCAAAATCAGAGAAAATAGGCTAGTTTCAAGGAGAAAATGTATAATTTTCAAAGAGAAAATGGTTCAAATCCAAAGAGAAAGCAGTTTACATCCAAAGAGAAAATGAATCAGTTTCAAAGAGAAAAAGACCAGATGCAAAGAGAAAAAAGTGCAGACTGAGGGAGAAAATGCATAAATTTCAAGAGAAAATAGTTAAAATTTTAAGAGAAAGTAGTTCAAACTCAGAGAGAAAATAGACCAGTCTCAAAGAGAAAATGCATAATTTTCAAAGAGAAAATAAGTCAAATTCGGAGAGAAAGTAGTTCAGACCCACAGAGAAAATAGGCCAGTTTCAAGGAGAAAACGCATCAATTTCAAGAGAAAATAGTTCAAACGTAGAGAGAAAATAGATAATTTTCGTTACATAGCGATATAACCTAGCCTTTTGAATTCAGAATACGCGAGATTTTATAGATGCTGTTCTAATGATGTGAAATGCACATGAGCTGACTGATTTCAAAATTTTGCTCCCAGTTTACAGATTAATCTAGATATGTGGATAACACTATTTGTTCTAAGTCTTCGGTGTCTTTTAAAAAATATTTTAGTTTAATACGTCGGTTGTCCCAAAATATTTCCCACGTAGTTTGTTTTCGGAGTGGTCCCGCAGAGAAAATAATAAAACCTTAATTTTGTTTAGAAGGTGCTTCTTGACAAGCATTGCAAAAACTGTATGAATAAATCCTATTTACTTGTTCTGATAATTCTTCCGTACTGAAAATAAAAAACATGTATGATAGTGCTATTTCTTACCATATTTAACATAATAAAAATATTTGGAATACCTTTTTTTTGCTATAGATATTTATTTATACAGCTTTTGTAAAACTTTCCACGGTGTGCCTTTTGAAAACAACAAGGTGCTGTCGTTTTCTGAAGCTGGGATACATGCAAAATAAAAGTCTTAGAGAAAGTTTTATCATGTTAAATTGTGTGGGAGTAGCACTATCATGTATTTTTTATTGTGATTATGAAAGAATTATCAGAATAAGACAATAGGGATTTATTCCTACAGGCTTGATGGGAGCTTTTCACGAATCATCTTTTAAAAGAAAGATCAAAATTTTATCATTTGTCTGTGCAGAGATATGTCGAAAACAAAGTATGTTGGAAAATTATGGAACGCTCGGTAAATGCACAAAAATGACGATGCTATTAAGGGTAAAAATAGGCAAAACACTAGGCAAGTTTTTTAAAGAACACTACTTTAAAAATTATCCATTGGAATTATTTTGCGCAGAAAGAATGAACTTGTTTCTCATCGATGTGACTTTTTTGCAGCAATTTCTCAACATGAAAAATGGCGAAGAAAATATTGTTCAAGTTGGTAACGAGATTTTCAAAGATCGCCACTGGAAATCTATTTTACCTTAAAAAAACCTACAGAGACCCGTTTCTCTCTACTTTTGGGAGACTTTCTCCCTTAATTTTTCCCCCAGCTTACGAAAACCAAACGAAAGCTATGACACCAACACTCTAAAATCACCAACAACCAATACTATCATAAGATATGCAAAACTTTCTATCATTAAGACTAGCAAAAAAACAGGACAACATGGTTACAGACTGTTCCAAAGGTCACTACATAATATTAAGTCACGCGACTGAAGGGACGCTCATATGAAATAAGATGAATTTGTATGTTTGTTAGATTCCGTGTATATTTGTAACCAAGTACAAACATTTTAATGAGATTCGGACTTTGAATTAAATTTGAACAACGGTAATCACAGTCGAGGAACTCAAATCTGTAATGGTCTTTCAAAATTTTGTATTTGATTTTTGTCGTCGAAGAAAGGTTTGCTGAGCAAATAAAGATTTTTTGTATAAGGGTTAACGAAGGCAAATCGAGGTCCTGAAATACAACTGTGTAGTCCATCGTTGAGTTGGAGTATGGATATCGGTGAAGTGGGTCTGCGTGTAGAAGAAAGAAATAACTAGACTCAAACTCATGTCAGATCAGCCACAAAAGGCCAGAAAAAATTATCGGAATTCGAATTATAATTTGAATAGACGCTTTTATGTTAGAACAGTCAAAGAGTGCGAGAGGATTTGAAATTCTTGACATTATTTTGAAAGTGCCAGAATGCTCTTAAAGCTTCATGTATATTCGAACTCAAATTAGGCATCCCGTGAATTTCATTGTTTACTTCGATTAACATCGATTATAATCGAGTAAAATATGATAAAAAAAATGATTATAACCAATGCAAACTCACAAATATTAGCTGAAAATGTTTTCATGTATCAGGAAGAAAAATCAATTAAGATCGATATTTTTTATGAAATTTCAATCGACTACAATCAAAATTAATCGAAATAATCAAGCAAATTGTGATGTTTGTTCATCATTTTGATTAAAAGTCGGCTAAATAATATGATTATAATTGATTTTGAATCAATTTTAATGTGATTGTAGTCCTAATTTTCTACATAAGATAGAATGAAAACATAGAAAAAGATATCTGTCTTGCAATATTGTTCGCCGTACAATCCAACATTAACTTATTTAGTTTCCTTAAGGTTAACAAATAATAACATTGCTAACGGTTTAAGAGTGAAACTTTCAAAAATATTTTCTTTTTCTCATACAGTGTGTTGTTTAAGTTTCTAGAAAATTTAATTAACTGCCGAAAAAATTCTTTTATATTTTAGAGGACGATTGTTCAGCTTTCGAAAATTCATTCCTGTTCTTCAGAAATCTGTGAAAGAAACAAACAGAGTTTCGTAGCTACGTGTCGAGTTAAGTAGATGATATCTATATTTTGCAATTATGGAAATAAAAGATTCTGTCTAAGTAACTAGAAATTTATTTGGGTTTTTTCGTGACTAATAGAAAGCATATGGTACATTTTTTTGTATCACTTAACTCTCTTCTGAATTCAGATACAACCAAAACACTTACTAGAAGATACAACGACAGATATTGGATTAATAAGTACCGTATTTTCTTGTTTAATTGAAATATTGAGTGGTTTGTCAAGTTCTTTTGCTAATTGTGTCAATGTATTTTTAAATTGATTTAAAATAATTTCATTGAAATCATTTTCTTGACGAGTTTCTTTCAGTTTATCAGTTAGTTGAGCTAAATTAACTTCTATTTGAGTAATATGTTCAGCCATATGTTGCAGTAATATTTGTCTACATTCATGCGCTGTTTGTTTAATTTTTTTAATTGAATCTTCTTCCCACTGATTAATTTGTTTTATCAATGAATGGTTTTTAGGCTCTCGTGTTTGTTCAGTGAGTGTTTGCCGAAATAGATTACGATTACTTTCAATTTCGTCTAATTCTTTACTTAATTCTTGATGATGACGAGGTAAATCCTCGTAGCAAAACATTCGTAAGCAGCCTTCACATCGTACTGCACTTTTTACTTTATTGCATTTACTGCATTGAGCTTTGCCAGTTCCTGTTGCCATGAGTGGAATATTTTATAATGCTCTTCAATGTATGTGGTCGTATTCTGATTGAAAGTATAAAACTAAAATTTAAACAAAGGATATTTAATATGTCATATGATTTTATCAATAATATTCATGATTGTAGAAAATAAAGACTCCTCAGTCGTTTATTTCTTTCTTTTATGTGCAATTATCGATAGATTTACCTAGATTTTGCATCAATTCTTCTAATTAATATTTTCACTACATGTCTCCTATGTTTATAACACTGAGGATATTCGTTTTGAATTTAGAAATCACTCTAACTAGCTACTCACCAAAGTTAAATAATCAAGACGAAATATGCTGACGAAATTTCAATGACGATAGCTTCCAACTTTGTTTTGTTGTGTATGTGGGAAAGATCTCTTGTTTGTCGAATGATTCTTTTCTTACTTTTGCAGCATAACAATACTTGACATATTCTACCTATCTTCTTTCAGCCTCCTTTTTTTTAAATTGTTTTAACTGCACTCTCCATGAAAGAGGACAATACACAGCTACGCTAGAATACTCAAGATGGACAGAAGATAAGGAATCATTACAAATAAGAAGAAAATTCATATTCTGTGAAATGAGATAAATGTTAAACAGGACTGCACATATTAATATTCATTTTTGTATGATTTGAATTCGATAGTATTTTTCGAAAACAGACGATTAGCTATTCAGATCAGAATTTTGTAAAAGCAATGCTCGTCTCTTGCTTAATCCTGTTCTATTATTCAGTCAACTTTGTTTGCTTCAAATTGAATAGAAACTCAATAATGAGTGATTCTTTTACAATGATCTTTTTGTATCCTTGCTATTTTAGTCTTCGTTCTCCTTTTCTTGTCTTCTCTAATTTTTTTGTAGTTCTGTAACTTTAACATCTGTTTTTCGTTCTTCTGCATGTTTTTCGATTTGTATAAACTGTTTTTATCATTTTCGTTTTTGGTTATCTTTTTTCCGTTCATTTGTATGTTTTCATATTCAATTAGATTTATATGGTGAAAAACACATTGAATGTATTTCACAACTAGGATGTGAGTGTGGGTACAGCATAGATGTTAACGACGACAAAATCTGCATCCACAATCACACAAATTCACATCCACACTGTATCATTATTATAAATATCTAGTACTTGTAATATGAGTTCATTGAGATGACAGTTTTCATCTATGTAAATAAATCTTTTCCTTTTAATACGATTGAAAACAGTTAACAAATACTTTGAATTGAGGATCCGAGATATTTTCTTTGCTGTAGAAGTTGAAAGGACAACGTTATCTTGAAGGGTGTGCCCGCATTGATCGTCAGCTCTCTCATACTATCATCTTCAAATAAAAATAAACTACTATTACAATCTTATACGAATCGAGAACGTCGCAGGATATGTCCTGCAGTTTGGTCATTCAACGCTGCGTGTTAGATCCTGCATATGGAGAAGCAAGACGATTTCTTTTTTGACGAAGAACTTGCAGAATACTCAGGGTGTGGATGCTCCTCGTAGCTGCCCATATTCATGATTCACACCCATATGCTACACTCTGCACATAAAATTTAATAGCATGAACTGGGTAAACAAAAAGTATTGTTGCTGTAGATTTTCATTAGAAAGATCGCTTGTCTTTTTCTAATCAATATTAAACTATTTACTATAGATAGAAGTATGATTTTGTTTTAGTTATTTACACTAGATGAAATTTCAAAAGGAAACGTTAAGTTTCAATTTTACTTTACATACAAGAATATATAGTTGTATTTATCAAAACCAGAAATGTCTATTTTTTATGTGACCTTGAAAAGAAAAAAGACTCAACTAAGTTGTACTATAGTCAAATTAATAATCATGTGTCTGAAGAGAATCTTATCAAATGATAAATTGATTTTGACATGAGTCTTATCTAATTTGAAAGTTCATATTCACAGTAGTAAAAATTCAAAAGGATTCATACTTATGGGTCTTTCTTCTTCAGTTATGATTAGTTTAATCAACTTTCTAACAAAATACCTTGATCCTCGTTAAGATCATCGTCATATTCTACGCTCAAATATAAAGTTCAACTTTCGTACAAGTTCTCAATGAATCAAGTTCTTGTCATATAGAAAAATTTATTTGTGCAAAGTTCGAACGAAAACACTCACAAATCAATTTTGAAGATAATCTGATGAAAAAGACGACGGCAACTTGTTGAAAAGCTCACTACAAAAAGAATCATGACTTAAGAAGAAAGATTCATATACACGAATGTTTTTAGGTTTTGTCTAACCTCAATAGGGCTTATCTAATCAAGTAAGACTTATATGGAATGAAGGTTACGTATTCGAAGTAGATAGTAAAACACACTCTCATGCAAGAGTTTATACGGAAGTTGTGTAGTAAACAAATTAACTTTTTTAAAGATAACATATAATAAATAGTTTTTGAACCTGGTAAAATATATACTGTAAAGTAATTTGAAAGATTTGGCAAACAAAAAAAGAAAGCATCATTAATTCCATTTTACATTCGTGTTTTTTTTAACTTCGTCTTTTCTTTGTTTTATTAAATGAAATCAAAAAGTTCATCAACATTTTTATTAGTAAAATAGCAAACAAAAAAAGAAATGTTTCCATAAAAATTTCCACTTTGTTCCTTACAAATATTACATGAAATCTAAATTATTTTCAGATAGAAAAAATTGCTTTTGAAACCAAGTCTTTTTCAATAAAATAAAAAGTTACAAAAACAAATTCAATTTCTTTTCATTTAATTTTTAGATGATTGAATATGTTCTTCGATATAACAGAAGAGAAGAGAATACAAATAAATAAGAAAAGTAAATAACCTCGGATTGTATTTTATTCGATCGAACAAAACTATTTGAATACAATCGTAAATAATTAAATAATCTCATACTGATACTCCACATAAATGTATTTATTAGAGAAAAAAAAGTTCTATAAGAAATAAAATATTTATTATTAACAAAAAAGAAACTTAGTTCATTTTATATACGATACTGAGTAATTAAAAACGATTATATTTTTTATTGAAACAAAATTGATCAATGAATGTAACTATTATTAATATTAAAAGAGCAAGAAGAAAAATTTGAATTTTTTTTTTCTTTTGTCTACATTATATATATATATATTTTTTTTTTAAACTACCTTGTAAATAAATTTTTTATGTTTCTTTTTTTCCTCTTGATATTTAACGCTGTCCAACTGACATTTAATAAATACTATCAAATAAAGTAAAATTCTTGCATTTCTTTGTTTAGATATTCTATTGAATATAATACTTGATATATCTGGCAATCGTTTAATAAACTACTTCATTGAAAATAAACAATAGATAGCTGTACAACAAATATGAAAAGAAATGAATAAGTTCAAAAAAAAAACAAAAAAACAAGAAAAACAAATTTTTATACTTCAAATTCATCAGTCCATTCAACACTATTTCCAAGTAATTTATTCACCTTATTCCACTCACGTTCACGTTCATATTGTGGATCAAGATTAAAACGTACTTTAGGTTTTAATGGTTGTTGTTGTTGTGTTTGTTCATCAATATTATCAGATGTTTTTATATTTGTTATTTTCATAATTGAAGTTGGTTGAATATTACGATTTACAATTGTTGGTGTTGTTGCAATTGTTGAAAGTAAATCATTATCTTGTATAATATATACATCATGATTATTTGTTGTCCATAAATTACTTGTTTTATTTTGTTGTTCTTTTTGTGATAATTCAAATTCTTGTACAAGATCAATTTCACCATTATCAGCACTTTCATCACCTTCGGATACATCATTTGTTGAACTATCTTGTGTATCATCTTCTTCAGATATTGTTTGAGAATGTTGATTTAATGATAATATTGTATCACAAAGAAAATCTGATGGTATTGGTATTTGTGATGGTAATGAAAATTTTTCTAATAATGATTCATCATTAATTTGATGAGAAGCTAATAAATAAGAAGAATAGAAAAATAAAAAAAGAAAAGTATAGTTTGTTTTTTTTTGATTGTCAAGATTATTTTTAATACATACATATTAGAATTGAATTACTGTTAATATTGAACTGTTCTGTTGAACTAATGGACGGATTTGATAAAGATTTATCAATTATTTCTTCTTCCGAAATTTTTTGTACAGATAAATTTTCTATTTCATTAATTTTATATTCATGTAAAGAAAATGCTTCCAATTGATCAATTGATGTTGTACTATTATCATCATGATCATGATCATGATTATCATCATCATCATCATCTTCATCACATGATGTTTCAGATAATATATTAAATTGTTGTAAATCAAAATGTTTTACTTCAATATCAGGTGATGAACCAACATCTGGAAAACATTTATTATTATTATTATTATTATTGTTTTTTAATATATTAAAATTTTTTATATTCATATTCCAAAAATGTTCATCAACTGGTGATGACATTGGTAAAAAATCATCATCAACAAGAACACCGGACGGTTTAATATTATCATCAAATTCTAAACTAGTTGAATGACGTAATGATGTAAGTGTAGATGTTGATGATGATGATGATGATATTTCATTTATTGTTGAAATAAGTGTTATTGGTCGAATAAGATCATGTTTAGTTTTTAATGTTTGAAAATCCATTGAACGTGAATAACCATTAATTTCAATTTGATTTTGTTGTTTAGATAACGGTAAAGATGTAATTGAATGTGGAATAGTAATAGGTGTTGATTGATGATATTTATGTTGTTGACAACCAGATAAAGTCTATTAATAAATAAAATTGAAAAAGAATGACGATATATATATATATGTATGTCAAATTCAACTAGTTGAAAAAAAAATCAAAGAGTATAAATATGTTAATAGTTAACATATATATATTAGTTTTTTTTTCTTCTTCTTCTTTCGTCCCTATATTGACAACTATGCTTAGATAAATATACAAATAATGAATAGTTTGTTTAGAATAATAATAATAATAAAAAAAAAAAGAAAAATGTCTTAGTAGATAATTAGAAACATATAATTTTAACTTACTTTTGTTACTTGAAAAGATTTATTATTCACCGGTTTAAATGTTTGTGGACGTAGTATTGTTTTCGTTGATGATATATTATTATTATTGTTATTAAGAATATTTAAATCTGAATAAGAACCATTTGTTAATATATTTGAATTAAGACAATCAATTAATGAATCAACATCATCATCATTATTTGTATTATGTTGTGTATGAACAAAATCATCAATTTGTTCAATAGTATTTTTTATTAAATTATTACATGGTATTGAATGAGTATTAACATGTTCAATACTTTCAACAGGTGATGTTACTGTTGTTGTACTTGAAGCACTATCATCAATATAACGAAAACGTTCTATTTTTTCCATAAAATCTTTTTGATATGATGGTATTATATTTAAAGATTTTTGATTTTGTTGATTATTCAAAAAATTTGATTTTATTTGATTTTTACTATTATTCTCAATTGGATGTTGTATAGTTGATGATGAAATCATTTTTGTTGAATCAATAGTTGAAGAAAATATTTGTGGTTGTTTAGTAAATGAATTTCGACGTAATGTTGATGAAAGTGAAACACGATGACGAGGTTTTAAATTAACATTATTACCATTACTAATTTTACTACTATGATCGATATTCGTCGATATTAATGAAGAACAAAATGGATGTGAATTTGAAGAACGTACAAGTGGTAAGAGAGCATTGAAAGAATATTTACGAGTTGTATTATTTGATGAATCTTTATTAGTTGATGTCAATTCCGATGTTAATAATGGTGTTCGATCATCACACTAAAGAA